CCACGGCCGCCCTCTGTGGCCGCTGCCGTGCCGGCGGCGCCTCCTCCGCTGAGCTTTGGCTCTTCCGCCTCGCCGCGGCTCAGCTTTGGCTCGCCGGCCTCGCCGCTGCTCAGCACGCCCATCGCCCGCGCCTTTGGCGCCGGCGCGCCGGCCTCCGCGTCGCCGGCGCGGCCGCTCGTGCTGGCAAGGGCGCCCTTCATGCCGCAGCACAGCAGCCGGCTCGGCGGCGATACGCATCCTGGCGCGGGAAGCAACCTCAGCTGCGACCCGCGCCGCCGAAATGCGTGGCTGGGAGAGCGTGCAGGGCCTGCGAGCAGGGCGCCCGGCGCCGCCATTGCCGCCGTCGCCCGCGGCTTGCTCGACCCTGGCGAGGGGCTGAGAGCGCTCCTCGATCCCGCTGACGTGCGCCTCGTCGCGGCGATCGCCGCCCTCCACGACGACGGCGCGCCCGCCGCGGCGCTCAATGCGGTCGCGCGCTGCTTCGCCGCGCCGGGCGAGTGGCAATTGCTGCTTCGCCCTGGCAGCGAGCACGCAGCAGCGGGCGAAGGCGACGAGAGTTGCGCCCGCGCGGCGGCGGCTCGGGCGGCGGAGGCGGCGGCCGCGGCGGCGGCGGCGGCGGGCCTGATCGAGGTGCTGGATGCGCGCTCTCCGCTGCCCACGCCCCTTTCCCAGCTGGCCGCGCCCCTCTCGCAGCTGTCGGCGCGCGCCCTGCGCCGCGTCTTTGAGGAGGTGCGCCTCGACGCGCCTCCCGCCTCCGCCTCCGCCACTCGCGAGCTTCTCGCGGAGCGGCTCTGCGCCCTCCTCGGCCGGCGGAGGGGCGACGCCTTCAAGACGCCGCTGCTTCGCGCCCTCTGCCCGTGCGCCCGCATGAGGCCGAGCGTCGCGGCCGCGCTGCACCGTGGCAGCATCCTCTTTTTCGGCGCGGCGGGCTACGCGCCCGACGAGGCGGCCGCCATGCTGCGCGGCGGCGCAGGCCTGAGCCCATCGGCGCGGTTCGGCGCGGCGGCGGCGCTCGCGGCGGCAGCCGAGGCCCGCACGCCCCGCTTCGCATCGCCGCTCGCGCTGCGCCGCTACGCCGCCGCGCTGCAGCTCTCGGCGCGCGCCGAAGCTGCGTGCTGCGGCGAGGGCGGCGCGGGGACGGGCGACGCACCCGCGATGCTGGTCGCGCTCGAAGAGGCGCGCTCGCTGCTGCTCGGCGGCGGCGAGGGGCGCTCCCCAGCCTGGTGCGCGGTGCTCGGGCGCGTGATTGCCGCCGGCTGCGCGCAGCTTCGGCGGCAGGGCGAGCACGGCGCGTCGGCGCGCGCGCTGTGCGACACGATCGGGCACTCGATGATGCCGCAGCGGTGGCGCGCGGCCCTTTTTGTGCAGTGCGTCAAGGACCTCGACAGGGCCGGGCAGCAAGAAAGGGCTTGCCGGTTGTGCGAGGCTGCGCACACCTCGCACCTGGATGCCAACGGCCACCTCTCGAGCGCAAGCGTCGCTTCGCTCCTCGAGTCGAGCGGCGGCGGGAGCAGTACAGAGGCGTTAAAACTGGGAGCCGTGC